AAAAAAAAAAAAAAAAATGACCAGGTGAACAAATTCTAAGACCTTTTGCCAAGAGAAAGTTTATTTTTTTTTAATACACAAAATGCTTCCTTACAAACTGCACGCCTCTCCCAGGACGAGCGTGTCTCTGGAGGGTGCACAGTCTGAGCGCTGACTATGCTACATGAAAAGTGACTACAGGAAGAAACACCGCAGGCAGCCTCAGGGGAAGGGACGCCTGAACAGCCAAGCCATTTGGGGTGCATTCTGGCATTTGTGTCTTTTCTTAGAGCGTAGCAGGAAGAGTCATGAAATATACATGCTTCCTGCAGGGGAGTCTGGGGAACGTGGGTGCCAGATGTCTACGCTCCACGGCACCCCGCATAAGCACCTTTCTTCTCACAAGGGTGGTCCTGGGGGCGTGTTCTCTGGATGTGGGTGGCGGGCGGCTCAGGGTCCCCGGTCTGCAGGTGGTGTTTCTATCAATTCCACCCCATCACGACATGCACGACCAGCAGGTAGCACATCCCGACCGTGCAGGAGACGACCATCATTGGGAAGCCCAACCTGAAACACAGAGACATGTGGGTTGCGGTGCTGGTATCGTTGTATTTGAGCCAGTTATCAGTTCACTGGAGAGGAGCACAGGGAAGGCCGAGCAGACGCACGCCCAGTGAGGTCTGGGTGACACACCTGTCAGTCACACCCGGGAGCAGGACACGGGCCAGAGTAGGGGGGGGGGCACTGGAAGCCAGGGAAGATCCGAGATGCTTCAGCTACTGAGCAAAGGAGCCCCTGCCCGCTGGCTCTCCTGCCCTCTTGGTTCTCTTGCTGCTCATGCCTGACTCCTGGCTTGCGGGGCTCTCACGGCCCAGATGGCCCACAGCCTGTGGACCCCACGCACAAGGGACTAACGGACTGGAACGAGCCTGATGCTGCCCCGGACCCGGCTCCACCATGGAAAGGGGACTCTGGACACTGGCTTTGCTTCCAGCTCTGCTGGCTCCCCAACAGCTCTTTTTCCAGGACTGGATTAAGGGAAATGGGACGTTGCCCACCGAGGGGTATAATTCCACACAAATAAAGCTTTTTACCACATCTCACATCTCATCCTCCCCTGGGGGCCTCCGGAAATGTTCATTCCAGACGCGCCCCAAGAACCCCATTCCCGCTGGCAAAGGAGAAAGACCGTCCACGCAGTTCTCTGAGAACAGCACCTGCTGTGTGTTGAGACCCAGGGGATCCAAAGTCATCATTACGTTGTTACTGCAGAGAATACGGCCCTGGGAGCTTTATGTCTCCACAGTCAGTTACCTCTTGTCATTAGAAATCAGAACCTTGGTCTTAGCCTCGGAGACCTGGACGCCCGCCTCTGTTAGACAGACATCCCCCACTGTGTGCCATTTTATTGGAGACCTGCTGAAAATGTTTGCCATGCTTTTAATTGAGTTTCGGAACCTCAATTTGTTCCAACTTGATGTTTCATTCTAAGGTGACTGTCTGCTCTCATAAATTTCGCTCCAGAGATACCCAAGTGCGCCATCGGACACATGGCCACCGTTCCATCAACACTCTCGTCTCAGACTGGACGTTTCTAGGATAAAAGAGTCAGTAGCGAAGGAAGAAAGGGGTCACACATACGGTGAGGGGAGATGTGACCGCGGGTGGTGGGCACACAATGCAATATACACACAACGTACCATAGAATCGTACACTTGAAACCTATGTCATTTTATCGCCCAATGTCACACCAGTAAATTTAATTAAAAATAAATAAATGTGCCCTGGCCAGTGTGGCCCAGTGGTTAGAGTGCTGGCCCATGCACCAAAGGGTCACAGGTTCGATTCCTGGTCAAGGGCAGGTACCCGGGCTGCAGGTTTGATCCTGGGCCCCAGTTGGGTCCTATGCGGGAGGCACCCAATCCATGTGTCTCTCTCACATCCATGTTTCTCTCCCTCTCTCTCTCTTCCCCTCCCTCCTTCCCTCCCTTCCACTCTCTCTAAAAATCAGTGGGAAAGATATCCTCAGGTGAAGATTAACAAAAAAATAATAATAATAAAATAAATAAACAATAGTAATAAATGCGAAACCAAGAAAAAGAGTCAGCTGCCCCACAAAGCACTGGATTGTGGGCTCTGGTGGATAAAGTTTCCCTTTGGATGACTCAAAATGCCCCTTGTGCTCATGGCTCCTAATTTCTATTCCCCGCAGCAACGTGGAACTGCCATGTCTCTGGGCAGCCCCCCCCCCCACTTCTCCCAGGGCCAGGTCACCCAGGCCCCCAGCTCCTTCTGGGATAAAAGGTCTTTAAGTCCTGAGCCATCCTCCTGCTCTGCGTGTGGGCTAATTCCTAAGCGTCTCTCCCACCTACATACGCAAAGCAAATTGTCCCAGCCCAGCCTCCAGAGGGTTTGCATCTCTGGTATTTTGCTCTCAAAGATGACAACACTAGACGTTCCCTTTGTCATTAACCACCACTGACCTCCTGAGATCTCCAAACGTCAGGAGGTTTAAACTGGGATCCTAAAATCTATCTTTTTCTTTTGGGTGAGTTATCATCTTTGATCATCGCGTCACCCTTTCTAAACACCATAAAAATAACTAACATGTTAGACATTAAAATGCTAGAATTATAAAATTAAAAACGGCTTTGGGGGTGATCGCGTCTAAAGCAACCTTTAAAGGATCCAAAGCCTGGGCCAAAAAGTGATTCGCAGCATTTGGTTCCTTTAGGACGTTTTTTAGCCTCTCCTGCTGAGGGGGAGCCATCAGAAGTTTCTGCTCTGCGGTGACTTACGTGCTGTTTCGAAGAGGAAATGAAGATTGAACCCAATTTTTTTGTCTCGCTTAGTCTTCTCTCTCTCTCTCTTTTTTTCTTTTTCACACCATAATGGCCCTTGGGAATATTCCAGTATATTTCAATATATATTCCAAAACTGATGAAAAACCATTTATATTTAAATAAAAGCTAAGTTATTTCCAACAGGCCCAACTCCAATGTCTACTATTCCCCTTCCCCCGGCCTCCCAAGTCACCCACTTCATGCCCATGACCCCCGTTGCAAGTTATGTTGAGAACTAAGATCTGGCCCTGGCTGGTGTGCTCAGTGGTTAGTTAGATCTTTGGTGGACGCATCCAAGGGCCTCGGGTTTGATTCCCGGCCCAGGGCAGGCACCTGGGCTGCAAGTTCCATCTCCGGCCCGGTGCAGGAGGCAACCAATCGGTGTGTCTCTTTCACATCAATGTTTCTCTCTCTCTCCCTCTCTCTCTCTCTCCCTTCCACTCTCTCTAAAAACCAATGGAAAAAATATCCTCGGGTGAAGATTAACCAAAAATAATAATAATAATAATAATTGAGATCTATGCTGGAAAGCTGGTACCAGAGCCTAGACAACTGTCAAATTTCATCCCCACAAAAGAGCAAAGAGGAATATGTGGGGAGAGCATATAGATGCCAGAAATGCAAAGGAGATTGCAACCTAAATATATGAAAAATTGGAAAATCTCCAAAAACATGGACAGAGAAATAAGAATGAACGTTATAATGATACGGAAGATGAAAAAAAAATTGGAAACTCTGGCAAATGACATTGGAAGACATCTTTTTAGACTCTTACTATATTCTTGGTGGAAATCAATGAACACTATACTGGGGGGGTTCAGATCTAATGAGTAAGTGTTGCTTGGTCTGCAGAGAAGAGCCCCCTGCAGACTGCAGGTGAAGATGTTGCTCCCTGGGGTCGGCTGAGCTCAGGTGAGCACTTTCCTTGTAAGAGGGCACGTTAGGGCCACACTCGGTAAGTGTGTTTCTGTGAAAACCCAGGTCCCAGTGGAGGAAACCCCACTGAGATGAAAC